AGAGAGAGAGAGAGAGAGAGAGAGAAAATGTACATACAAATCTTAGAAGACAGATAGAATTCTGATACACAGAAAAAACCTTAACAGATACACAGAACATAACCCTAGACAGCTACTTCTATCCCAATTACCATGGATTTAGTACCAACTATTTACCAAGCCATTCACGATTTACCAAAACATTTACCCCATACTTTACATACACAATGATAAATGTTTCTTTGCAAACATCTCTAGCATGATCAATTCCTTACTTCACCACTAGGAAACCTGAGACCTACAGAGCACTTGCAGAGGCCACACAGCTAACAATGTTAAGCCAAACCATTTCTAAGCCCTTGTGAATTCATTTTTCTAGGCATAAAACACTATCAGGAAGAAGCTGAATGAACATCCTCACCAGTACCTAACTACACAAGCAAAAGTAGTTTTAACTGCACATGCATAATCCCATCACTCAAACAGCAGAGGCAGGAAAAGTGCCCCTGAATTCAAAACCAGCCTGGGCTGCAGCAAAACCCTGACTTTTAAAAATTAATTAATTATATTTGAAAAAATATAAAAGGGCTGGAGATATAGTTCAGTGCAAAGGTCTTAGGTTCAATCTCTTGTATACAAAGCACAGAAAAAGGAAAAAGAAGGAAAAGAAAGTTTTGTTCAATATCTACTATATTAAGATTTTACTGTTTTAATACTGTTCTAAAAACAAAAGAAGTTAAAATTATTTCTCAATATATATTATTACATAAGTATGTAAGACCACAAAAACCCTTCATTTGATTTAAATTCTTCCCAAAGTTATATAATAAATTAACAAAGAATATTCTTCGGAGGATTTCTTGAAAAAGAAGTATCATAATGCAATCTAAAAAAGACTGCATAGAAAGTACAACAACAACACACACAGGGGGCCTGCCCCTTAGCTCAGTTCTTTAAGTGGCTGCTTCAACAAAGCAGTCAGGCTCAGGTGGCTGTGGTTCGATCTCCACAACTCAAGCCAGCCAAACCCGCCCTGAAGGCATTCGGAGCAAAAGAAAAAAACAAAAAACCACACACACACAAAGATAATTGAAAACTTTGAAATGGCCCACAAAAAAGCAAAGGGAATACACACAATATCATAAGATTAGAATTCTTCTTCCTTGAGTTCCTAATGGTGAAAATAAAAAAAACAGGATCAATTTTGGGGGCAGATTTCAAGAAAGAAAAATACACGGCAAAGTATCATATTTAATATCAGAATACACAAACCTGTCTTTGACAGTATGATTCTTTGAGTTTCTTGAGATGTGTTGTCATTTTCACTTTGAAGTGAATCTCACTGCTATCCTAAGGAGATAAAAGAAAAACAATTATCCCTCTTTGCATAAATATTTATTTTGAACTTTATACACACATA